TTGCAGTGTTTCCTTATCCTTCATATGAAATTTAGATAAAATGTTGTATAACGTATTTATTTATTGTACAGATTTTCAAACATCAACCATCAGATGCTAACTATCCATCAAGTCTACTAACATCACGGAAAATATGAAAAATATTGAAGCTTACACTTGGATAAAGGCTCTTGTTTCGAATTATCGTAACGTAAGAGTAAATCTTACAGAGGATTTTCACTCAATATAATAGAGAAATGATGATATTTTCATCAATAACATGCTCATTCTGCAACTGGTTTGATCTTGATACTATGAACATAAATAATGACTCGACAGTCGAGCGTAAGGTTGACTCAGTCTTATAAAACTGGTCTTCGGTCCTTATTCTAAGGACCGGTTCATAAGTAAGTGATATATTATTATGGTTTGTTGCGATTAAGGTTTGCAGGCAGAGCATTACCCTTAGGTTTAAACGGTTTAAATGTTGCTATTGAAATCAAAATGTTCGAAATAATACTTTATCCAAATAATCATTCAAAGTCAAAATTACTTTCATTTGTAAATATGAGTTTGTCCTGCAACTATTATAGTATAATAATAGAGAAAATTGAATAATCAAATTATATAAAACTAAAACTTTGATTTATAAATTTTAGACATTACCGATTCAATACCGGATCTCAGGAATAATCCAGGGACTGATTTATGTGCCTCTCTGATTCGATAAAGAAGAGGAGCAAATATACATCACAGTCAAGAAACTATAAATATAAACTTTTATCAGTATTCGCTCATAACTAGGAGAATAACATCCGAAATAAAATTATATTGTGGAAATTCACAAACAAGTGTATGCTCAGAAATTCTTCGATTATTGACTCTTATTTTTTTTTGTTTATATATTTGTCGCTAACTTATTTTATCTTTATTTATTATTTGTCACAGTATAATATGGTTAACTTTCAACTCTAGAGGTTCAAAACTCCTTAATAAGTTGATTAACTGGCACTGTACCTTTGACAAGAGCTATCAAATTTTTGTAATCCTAGAAACATGATTCTGGTCAAGCTAACCGGTTAATAATTAACCAATTATACCGACTATTAGCAACAATTGCACAGAATTTTTTTCAAAGATATTTGGTCTGACATCATTAATAACATAAAAATTTTGTTAACACTGGTCATGGCTCCACAGAAATAACAGATTTTTTAGATAATGATGCAGAAGGTTAGAATGTTGGAGCAGTGGAAGAGTGAATTAAAATTTCTTTGAAGAATGTGGTAAGCAGATTTAATCTTAGAATAATGAATTTATCAATAAATATTTTATTATTTAAAATTTTATTAAATCATTCTTTGTAAATCAATTAAAAAGAACCATTCTATGTTGATAAATGTGGAAAAATTAAATGGAAGAGGAGATATTTTACGATACCAAGATTTTGTATGTTTCTATGTATTATGATTTTGTGCTATATTTTGATTAAATCGAAATCAATTTATAAATGCCTTATTAACTGTAAACAAAAACTATATTTTGTTTCCCACTATTTCACGAACTTAATATCTAGACATGTACTGGTAAGTTCCATTAATCAAGTTCGTTAGTCATTCTTAAAGATTTTGATCTATTAATTTTATCATCGATTCAAGACTTATTTTAAGAAAAGTCCCGGATTAGTCCAAATGAACCGGTTCGGTCAAAGTAAAAAGAAAGACAGGTCTGGACTAATCGGACCCAACCTTATCTTTACCTTTTCTGGGAATTCATTTCAAACGAGAATATTCAATAATGGTTAATTTCACCGTCTAGCAGTCCTTGGACTTCCTAAGTGGTCGTAGTCGAAAAGAAGAGGCTAAGTGTCGAAAACCTAAAGCTACCGTCACCAAGATCGATAATTACCCTCAAATTGAAGATGCTGAAAACTTAGTCAGATCTCGATGGTTCTCCTTTCTTGATATGGCCAGCAGATTCTGACAAGTCGAGAGATGACTTATCGGACTTGATCTTTGTTTTAGAACTTTATCTGAATGATATTTATTCAAGGAAAATAGTGCAAGCATTTGACATACATGTAAGGGATAGTATATGAGGAATTATTCTTCAATAGCAAGAAATATTTCTTCATACATTGTAATCACGGACGAATCAGATGATTATGACGTGGTAATTATATCTCCAGAGTGAAAATTTGTAAAACAAAAAGGAAGAATGAATTAGTTGATTATAGGGTTATTAAAAATTACCCGCTATGTTAGGTAAAATTTTCTGTTATATGTTCCACTAAGACCAAAGTGTAATTATCATAAGTTATTAAAGCGATTTTGTATAACTATGCGTTAAGAACTAAAGTATTTATTGTTATCCTTAATGAACCGAACACTGATTTTTCAATAAAATGCAGTAATCTAAAACTTTAAATTTTTTTAAAATTTTATGTTATGAAAATTTGATTTGTACTTCAAAGCCAAATTTCATTCGTCTTCTAAAAAATTTCAATGAATTGAATAATGTCAAATTATGAGTTGGGGCAGTGACGTAATTCAAAGATTTATATCCACTCCGCTTTCATCGCATCAATTCCTTTAGTTTGTATGAATCAAATAAATTTTTAAAAAAAATAAAAGTTCCTAATTAATACTTAATGAATCGATCCAAAAGTGAATCAAAATGACTCGATCACTACATCCATTGAAAGTAAAAAAATTTAAAAATAGAAAATAAATGGAAACTAAAATTGAAATAATAATAATAATAAACCAAACTGAAGTAAAGAAATTGCTAAAATCATCTAAAGGAAAAAAAAAATAATTAAACAATAATAAAAAGCTTTATCACAACGATCGAATATTTTCTTTATTTTATTTTTGGGTACTTTCGCCTTTTTATATTTTTTTTAGTTTCTATTTCAAATTTATTACTTCTAAAGTATTAGATAATTTTTTTTATTTTAGGTCTTCGATAACTTCGGGCTGCAATTTTGATTTTCCAGTATGATATAGGTAGTTTTTTTACTTTCATTCCTTATTTTACTTTTGATTATTAATTGTTATATTTTTTTGTATTTTTTTGTAGGCAATTTTTTGTGATTTCTTTTTTGGTTCTATTGTCCATCTTTATGCACTAGTTGAGTTGCTCCTCAGGACGTAGAAAATTACGCCATTATCGGTAGCGATATACTATGTTATGTTTATCAAAATTATTGTTATAGATGCTCATATTGAAAATTTTATGGACTTGAATTGTCTTCCGAATTGGAATAAAGGTTTGTTAAGTGGAGAATATTCACTCGAATAACATCACATCATGTAAACAAAATAATGAAAATTCTATCATTCTTTTTGCGAACTTTATATTTTTTAATTTCCTTTTTGCGGTGTTTTTTTTTAGAAATGGATCTTTATCTTTTCGATCCTAATGCAATATTATTATTATTATTATTTATATATTTCATAAAGAATTTTTGACGTCAAACTTGAATCCATAGTTGAACTTTGTGCCAACGGCGACAATCTTTTAAGACTCAATCATTTTACAGTTGACCGAAATATCATTTTTATCGTACCATTAAAGAAATGTTTAACAATTTGTAATATAAAACATATAAATACAACCATTAATAAATATTTAGCACTACCCTTCTTTTATTACAAATTAGCTGTAGAGGTGTTAATAGTGATAGTGTTGGTATTAGTAGTGATGATAACGTTAATATTGATAGTAGTGAATGCTTCTGTTTCTTTTAAAACTTGTATTTCCTATAAATAACCATGTCGGTTAAAATGATCCTTTCGGTAAACTGATAAAATGAGCGGGGTTTCAAAAGATCAAGAAAATTAAGTATGTCCGTTCTGACTTTGCACCTATAAAGACTGACAAAAAATTGTGTCGATACTTTTTAGTATTTAGCCGAACATTAGACATTATTTTATTCTCGTTGATTATGATATTTTATATAGATTTTGAGTTTGATTGGTTTTGATTGGTTGATAAACTTTATATCGCTATAATATTATCCAAGATTAAACTATTGTAACCCTGTGTCACACTACACTTTTCCATTTTTTACGAAAGAAAACATCAAGTGAAAGAATATTACCCACATATATTATTTATAAACCCACAATTTTAACAAATAAAGTATTCTAAATAAGCAAATGCATCCAGTTGAAGCGTGAGTGGCAGAAATATTTTATAATAGCCATTCCAAAGCACCACCCTTAATGTAATTGGCTAATGATTGAAATGTTGCACAAGTTTTATTATCACGAATCTTTATTATCATGATTAATTAAAAAAGGTTTTGGCTTCAGCTTCTATCCATTCTTTACAAAAAAATAATATATCCTCTCAAGAAATAGCAATAAAATTTCCCATCATGTGATTATCAGGTGAAATCGCACCTTGATCATATTCTTACCGTAATTTCTCACAACCATATTTCATCATTAGTGCCTTGATATTACTGACATCTTTAATGGCATTACCGTGTCTATTATTTTGAGTGACACCAGAATAATTCTTATCTTTATTGTTATCGCTAGGAATTTGCAATATATTACCATCGTTATATGTTGTAGTATTTTCTAAATATTTTCTTTTTTGTCTTCTTTTAAGATGTATTAATATTCATGTAGTGGGCCGCAAACAAACCTACAAACCCTCCTAATACGGAAACAATGGTTAAAGTAGATCCGTTATTATGGTCGTTGTTTGAATTATTTGGTGGTCTTTTTTAAGTCCATGTGTTCGTCGATCACGTGTAGATCCTTCATAACTTTTTAGGTTGTCCGAAGCTCCTTCTAATAATACACCCGAAAAACCTACTTTATTTGGTACAATATGATGTTGAATGATACTCGTTAAATTGTCGCTTGAGAGTAATTCAGGATTCACTTTTGCCAACGCTTATGGTGCAAATATTGTAGCTCCTATCAATGTCGAATAAATTTCCAAGGTTTGCTGCGGTGATTAATTTTTCAAAATCATTTATGTCTTTTCTTTGATCCATTACGTTCGTTGGACTATTTGGTAATTCGATAACTAAAAAATAAATTTGACAAATTTTAACAAAGATTTCGTTTATTAAAATTTTTTTTTGATTTATTATTACTCACTTGCATTGATGACTTATTACTTGCGACATTACCGGCACTAATCACTTTTCCTACTTTTCCATTTCCATTGCTAATGTTAAAGTTTCCCCTTCTTTATTAATGATAAGTTTTTACATTTCCTTTGCTGCCAATTTTACAAATTGTGGAGAATCAAGTAGTGTTAGTTCATATTGAGTACCAATGATTTCGTTTCTTTAGGAATAATATGATACTTTAACAAATTATCGATAGCAACGTCACTTAATTTTCCTACATTTTCAAATGCTTGATTTGATGGTGCAAATATTTGTATACTTATTTCCTATTATCGTCTCTTCAATGATTTGTCAAGCAGTACTGTTACGTCACAAAATATTTTAAATTGCAATCATTTTGTATATTTGTTAAAATATCTAATTCAATATTTTGCGTAAAGCATAAGGTTAGAATCGATAACGATAAAAAAAAATATAAGATGATTTATTATTTTATTTCGAAACGTCTTTTTTTCTTTTTTTTTAAAAAAAAAAAAGTAAAAATAAAATCAACATCTCTTCTTATATAGAATTCTCGTACCCGGCACCACGTACTATGAATTTTTTTTTATTACATACAGGGGGTGATCTCGGTTACCCGAACGATTAATATTTCGTTCGATTAACAGTAACATTTTTGGGTAAGTAAACTTTTATTTATTTATAATTATTTATATTATATTTTTATTAAAAAAAAATAAATAAAAAACTAATATTTTTATACAAGCTTGAATTCGACGAGACATACTTTTGACTAAATTTTGAATATGTTCAAGTGAAATCGAACGCCAAGCCTTTTTTACTTTACGCTCCAAATCTTATAAGCTTGTGGGTTGGTTAGGCAAGTTACGTACTTGCCTGTCAATTTCATTCCAAAGGTTTTCGATCGGGTTTAGATCGGGTTTAGATCGGAACTTTGCGCAGGCCAAGATAACACAGAAATGCCTGCGGTGTCATGAACTTCGGCAGCAATCTTAGCACGATGAGGTGGAGCATTATCTTCTTGACAAATATGCGCCTGGGACTATGCTTTACTGTAGCAGTTAAACAGGAGGAGTCAAATTCTTCCTCAAGTGTTCGCCACACACGTAAACTATGACCTTGTGAAAATTGGCTAAATGTGGATTCATCAGACCATACAATCATTTTCCACTTTGCAATTGTCCAATCTTTTCATTCCAATGCCCAAGTCAATCTTTTTTGTTTGTTAATTTCCTAAATTAATGGTTTTGGGCAGGCCAAACATGAGCGTAGGCCAATTTTTTTAAGAGTTCAACAAATAGTAATAGTTGAAACTTTCTTTTTTTTTTAATGAGTAACTCTTGAATTTTATGAGTGTTAAAGCGGCGGGTCTTTGAATCTTGTGTAATGAGCTTCTTGAGCGATGGAAATTCCTTCAAATTAAAAATCATTTTCAGGCCACAACGTTTTTTTGGTATTGCAAATCCCGTTTCTTTAAAACATTTATTGCATCATGAACTGTTGTTTTACCACATCCAATAATTTCAGCAATTTTTTTATATGAATCTTTTCATTTATAACCATAAAGAATTGTTCCATATTGTTTTTTCGGTTAATACTTTTGTTTTAACCATTTTTAGTTTGAAGTAAATAAATGGCCGTGAATTGTTGTGATCTGTATGCATAAATTGTTTAAATAATTAATTTTTAAATTAGAAATTGTCGCGTAAATAAAAATATAAACAAAGATAAAAATATAAATAAAGCAAATAAATAAAATAAACCAAATACTTATCGTTCGGGTAACTGAGATCACCTCCTGTATATATATATATATAAATTCACTATTTAATGCAACTGAACATTCGTCACGAAGGGTATTGACATCAGTTCAACCTCAACCTCGGGCTTTAAGAAACACTCATATTGCTATACCTACAAATATTTATGAACAACAACAAGTTGAATTGGCTTCTTTACATGATGAGCGTATTATTACGAATGATTATCAAAGAAGGTTTAAAGAGGCAGATAGGTGCTGGATCTGTGAAGACAAGTTTAGTATAAATACAGATATAATTAATAGGTTAGAAAGAAAGATTGCAAATCTTACCGACAAGCTTACAGAAATTGTTCAAGATCCT